TTTCTGTAGGTTTATTTATAGACAGCAGGTTTAGTCGTGTTTCCAGAAGAGCTTTAATAAATCTATGAAAGAACCAAACTGCAGGATCGTCTCTGACAGAGGTTCATGTTTCAGTGGTTCCATCAGAGAACATTCAGCGTTCTAGGACTCGTTGGAGACTAAAGACTGGATGATGAACATGGACCTTATGGTGGATGGAGGCTTTAGTTCATAGGTGGGTGTTTTTTTCTCCCCTAAAACAACCTGCATGTTCCTGCAGTGGAAAAAGGCTGAATATATAGAATTCTCCATACAAGAAGTCTTCAGGAAATAAAATCAGACGTCCAGCTTCCTTCTCCTGAAGCATTCTGGACCATTTCATGAAAACCACCAGCTCCATACCGGGGCTACCCATCAGCCCTGGCGCCTCCTCACCTCCGCCCTCGTTGAACACAGCCAGAGACGACGAGGCGTCGGCGGCGCTCCACAGCCGGACCGTCCCATCGGCCGAGCAGGAGAGGAGGCGGTGGTGAGCCGAGCTGTAGACCAGACCCCACACCGAGTCCGTGTGACCGCACAGCGCCCCCCGCAGGACGGACGGCTCTGCAGCAACCGGACAAAGCAGAACACATTACATACAGGTGATAGACGAACAGATTCGTGTCGAGGTGAAGCGGGACGTACCGTAGGAGTCGTAGGGGTCGATGTTGGGGTTTGGGGTGTTCCAGCTCTGAATGGTGCCGTCCACCCCTCCGCTGAAGCACTGCTCACCGCTCGAGCTCATGGTGACGCACAGGACGGCGCCGCTGCACAGGCCCGACACACATCTAACTTAGTTAAAACCCAAACAGTACCAGCCTCTCTGTGTTAAGTTCACTCAAGTCTTAGAAACAATAAACCTTTAATTTACAGGATTAAAGACACAAAGAACTTCTGTGGAGGCCTTCAGTCAGACTGTTTTCTGAAAACTAGCCAGAAATCTTTGGACTATCTGGATCAACTCAGAGCTGAACGTAACGCAGCTCCTGTCCTGAGCTGTGAAACGTTGTTCTGCTAACGTCGAGTCAAACGCCCGCAGAGCTGAGAGCGTTTTCAGGTGAACCGGATCTCACCTGTGAGCTCTGAACGTGTAGATGGGCTCCACGTCTAAAGCAGCACACCTGGTTAGAGGTCGGAGCAGAGAACAGACAGAGCGTCAAACAGGCGTCTTCTGAAACACAGCAGCTGCACAGTCAGTCGACACATCACAGCATCAGACAACTCTCCAGTCAGTCGGAAAGGGTTTGGTATTTTGGACAGATGCTGAGACATTTCGGACAGGTGTTGAGTCAGTGGGTTTCATTCAGTGTAATCCTGAATAGGTTTGGAAACATCTTGAGTGGTTTTGGACCAACTTTGAGTAATTCTGGACAGGTCTTTGTCCACTAGGACTGATGAGTCATCAAAGCTCTTCGACATCCAAGGAAGCACTGTTCTGCTCTAAACCTGCCACCCAGGTGCTGCAGCACCGTCATGGTACCGTGACAAATGCGAGTGAACGGGTTTAACCGTTAGAGCACGGAGACAACACTGCCACCTTCAGGTCACACTGGGAATTACAGCATGGGCCCCTACGCTGATCATCAAGCAGACCGTTTAAACATTTTTACAACTTTAGTTATTACACGCTGCTGTACATTTATCTAAAATAGAAATAGTACAAAACCAATGTCCTTAATCACTGGGACATGCAGGAGCGAGAGCTTCACTGGGAAAAACAGCAGCATCTCATGGTGGCGTGTCCTGAAGTCAGACCCCTGCTGTTATTTACAACAACAAACAGTGAAACAATAAAGTCTCACTTTTTGGCCGGCGCTGTCTTCTGCAGGTTCCACAGCTTGAGGGTGTGATCCTCGGAGGCCGTGACCAGAACCGGCTCCACCGGGTGGAAGGCCAAACTCCGCACCGAGTCAAAGTGGCTCCTCAGGGTGAACTTGGGGTTCCAGGTTTTCCTCAGAGCGTCCTTGTTGTTGGTGATCTGAGGGAGGAACAATTCTAACTGAAGCTCCATCTAACATGACCAGTTCTGACCCACCACCACCACACATGCTGATACGAGCCTGGAACGGTTACCCAGAATGCACTTTGTAAAGTTTCCTCTAGTGACTGATCAGAACCAGAACCACATCCAGGGTACCAACTGTTACCACGGTGAGACATCCCATAATACTGATGCTACCAGCTGGTCAGGAATTGATCGGAAATGTTTTGGGTCACTTTGGATGGTAGGTTGGATCCATTTTTAGTGAATTTGGGCATTTTGTGGTTAATTTGATTTATTTTTAACTAATTTCAGACAGTTCTGGATTAAATGTGGACGTTGTTTAGTGATACTGGTCCAGTTTTCAGTCATTTTAGGAACATTTGTAGACATTTTGGATCCATTTTAGATATTTTACAGATTTTTTTTGTCATTTTAGGC